TTAGCATCCTGCCTTATAAGGCAGGGCAGTATTAGAAGACAAATATACAGCAAAGGTTTGCGAGAACAATTTAGCATGGCGATATATTCTTAATTTTGATGTATTATCTCAGAATAACAACTGAAAATTGCCTAATAGCATCTTACTTCGAACACTTTATTGGCCAGTTCACAAGGTTCAGATCAGCTCAAGTATCGGATGTACCTTCATACGTTCGTGTAAGTAATCCAATAGCAATTCAATAAAGTGCTAAGTGCAGTTAAGGGTTCGCAGGTTTGAAAAGAAATTACTAACATAACAATCTTTGTCTTCCCCGCATTCATTAAATAAGTATATAAAAGATGGTAAACATGTTTGCTGAGAGATCTCGACTTCTAGCAGGCAAAAATTACTTGGACCTATTATAAATAGAGATTGACGGAAAATTGTGTAATTATTGATAAACATTTGTTTCCGTTAATGTTGAAAAGGAAAAGACTTGGCGAGGAAAGCACAACAAATAAGATTATTTGAAAACTGAACTAGGACTAAGTCCTAAGGTAACAAATTTGTGCCAAATAGACAATATATACTAGTTGGAATAAGAGTTAACCTATGCTTGAATATAAATACACTGTTATACATCGATTAGACTACAACAAGTCACTTGGGAGAAGATGATGGGGGCGCCTGAACAGGTCTGTCCAGTGAGTAGACGTCAGGAAGTAGTGGAACCGAAGCAACGGAGAAAAAGACTCTAGAAATCTCTCTAGTTACGTCCTCATGTGCAATCATTCTCACAATTAGAAACACTTACTCATGGCTGTATTTTGAATATACAGTTTCTAGGCGATCATACATGACCCTGCGTTTATACATCATGTGATTCAATTCCCACATCATAGGCTCGACTTCCTCGGCTTTGTAACCAGAGTACTTTTGCAGAATGGGAGTCCTGAGAACGAAAATGATAAACAAGGTTTGTTGACAATGACTGTTCTTCAAACCAGGTAGCATCCTTGTCGTGCATCTTGAAGGCAAGCAAGATGGCGGCTGCCGCCATCAACGATTCCGATACACCAATAAATTCATAGAACATCAGTGACGTCTCCAACACGTA